TGTATCCTCTCTTATGCTCATATTTAATAGTTTATCTTTGAAATCCTGTGCATTTTTAATAGTTGAAGAAATGTCATATTGGAATGGTTTCAGAATTCTAGATAAATATTTCGACAGACGATAGGTTATGGAATAAGAATAGCCATTTTGTGGATTTTTGATCTACCATAGAATCTAACTGCTGTGTTCATGTTACAATGGTAATGAATACCATGTTATATTTCCAAGCCTCAATTTCATTTTCCTAAGTAATTTGCACGTTTCAGCCTTCATTTTATTTAATGTCCTTGACTGTTTATCATTTGGGATAAGTTCATATGGTCCGGTTTCCATTATATTGTAGTACTTTCTTTTCATAATTTTCTATATTCAACAGGACCTTCACTACTTTCGTCTGCTTTCGTTATGACTATTGCCTTGTCAGATATTAAAGTTTTTAAAGCCGCTAGTTTTGCTTTCATTAAGTCAGAAGCAACACGCTTCTCATTTGCTATGATAGCTCTGACTTTATGACATATTGTGTAGCCTTCTTGTTTCGGCATAAACGATAAAACTGGTTCCATAATTACAGCTAATTCGATTGTTTTTACAGACTTTCTGGACAAATCAAAATTGACCTCTTCCTTCAGTAACGTCATTTAGTTGCTTGTTGCATAATTCACATATCACTCCTGTATCGTATGAATCGGTATTTTATTGTCACATTTTAATTTACTTCAATTGTTTAGCTGTTCAAAATTCCGAAATGACATCTGCTTAATATTTTGGAAATATCTCCATTCTCGATCCTGACATAATTTAATTATATCGAGAAACTGATTGTAAGGAATACGTTTATGAGATCTTCGCTAGTCTACATATTCGTTGAACAATGACAATAATAACAACCATGAATTTGTAATCACTAATCTCATTTACTCTAGCTAAACAGAAAAATCACCTAACCAATAACCTACTTCAATAAATATATACATTTGGTGTGTATCATTTCACAGTATATATTTTCATATTAATAAAAATGTATATATATGTATATTCTACTGAAGAAGGTGTCACTTACACACCGGAAACTTCAGAAATATCTTCTCTTGACTCTCTGAACACACTGGGATAATGCTATTGCTTGTATTATACCGTCATTGATTGCACCGAATCCCGATGGGAACAACATCATTCAGTGGGAAGCAGGTACATCGAACTGATGAGTCCCGAATAGGAGGAGATGCGAATCATTGATTCCACTAACTACCAATGTCCATCTACACTGGGATGATAAGATCAAAGTATATTGTTATACAGACAGGTTCAGTGAGACTGGGCACTCAACTCATTCTATGGCATTCGTAACAACTATGGTCAGCATGTTTATAATCTTGAAGTAATAAGCCACTTGGAGAATACAAGAGTGAGTGATACCATCAAACAGACTGAATTGTATTTGACATGTGTTTATGATGCTTTCATGATGTGTGTGTGAGAGGGAAGTCGATGCAACGAACCTACTCACATGTTTTATTTCAGTTCATTCAGATGTGAAATCTACATGTGAACATGAAATGTTAGATGGAATAAATTTCGTGGATTCGAGCATTGAAGTGAATGAAGATGGTTTGATAGTACACAGGATTTGTCATCAGTCTACTTCACCTGGCCAATATTTGTCATTGAATAGGTTCTATCCTATGGTTTATGAAAGAAGTGTAGTTAGGAGATTATTTTTAAGTGTGATCAGACTAGTTTGTAAGGAATTCATTGAAAATGAACTGTGAGGTAATCAATATTCCATAATATTGATTCATCAGTGTGTTAAATGTGAAGTCGAGAAATTGGATGATACATGTGTGCTGTAAACGAGTGTGTTCATTAGACTATGATTTGAAGGGGATGAATTGAGTTGGCAATATGATCGCCAACTGAATGCATGCATCGTACTAACTTATCCAGTTACGAAATTGACAGTAGTCGATGAAGTGATGAACATGATTATAGAAGGTGATGTGTATGTGATAGGTCTTCGTGTTACTGTCGAATTATATAAATTGATTTACTTGTAGCATGTATGTGTGAATGATGAATAGGGTGGTTAGAGTGAATGAATCTGTGAAGATGTACCGAGAAGGTAGTCATGGAGATATGGTGTGATGTTGTAGGATGCGGTGGTATTGGTAAGTATATTGTCTCTTGATGGGGGTCATGTAGTCGACTAAAACACAGTTTTCAAGTTAATCAATTGATTGTGAAGTAGTAGAATTGTACGTTGTGTTGAAGTGTCAGGAATTGATTGACTGAAAGTCAGGTTATGTGTATAGTGTGAGTTTGTGTTTCACGTTGTATTAATTGTCTTGTGGAATTGTCTATTTATTTCATGCTTTCATCTCGGTTTATATATTAATCAGAAGTATTATTTGTCGTGGAATGATGATTGTTGTGGAAGCAGCAGGAACGTGGAAGCTGTTAGGTTTTCATTTCTTCCCCATATGATATCAGAGCATGAGGAATACTTGCTCTCAATCGAAATCCCCATTTGTCTTTGAAATATATTTATTGCTTATAATCGCCGAAGCTTATGCACATTCGCATGATTTTCGATTCAACTTTATTCTTTATATCTTAATTATGTCACATTCCTTTACTGGTATAAATCCATGCTCTTTGTACATCATGTTTGTTGTTCTCGGCACCACGTTCCTTATCAGAGTCCCCATCACCTTGATCTGTCATCATATTCATGTATTGCTTTTTATATTGTTTTGTTTAATGTGTGTTAACTGGTTGATTTTAATGTGCAATTTGTTGTTTACTGGTTCTCTGTATGCATTGATTGATTGGGTTGTGAACTGTGTCGTTGACGTCTCTTCCCTCCCATACGTATGATTTGCATTGATGTGTATATTAGAGAGATGTTTTTGGTGTTGATTTTACTAATGGAATGTATCGAGTGTGATATGCTGGACACTGATGGCTTATTACGCAGAATTCTGCCTCATTTTTCTCGTTGAACGCCCACTTCATCACTTTCGTTTCACTGTGTGGAATTGCTAGCTATGAGTCGCAATTATGTGTAACTTCTTTCGAATGCTCAAGACACTACTTATAGGCATTGTGTTCAGTAGTGCGCACTGCAGTTTTAGATGTTCCCTGCATATATTGATTGATTAGGCCGTGAACTTCTTCATTCATCTGTTTATATATATATATATATATATATATATATATATATATATATATATATATATATATATATGTATATATATATAATTTTCATCAATTTCTGGATGGGAAAAATGTATCTGTTTTGCTTTGACTATTAAAATATATCTATTTTTAATGTAGTGTTTATGGGTAAAATTTGTAGTAGACGAAATGAATTCGACTTTATCTCGGAATGTTTGTTTTTCTTAAAAATTTAAATCAAATGGTCCCTTTGGTAAATTTAAACAGTGTAGTGAGAAGACGAAGATTATCTGAAGCTTCATTGACTCTTCGGTAAATTTTCACATAAACAGTTCGATACGTCCATATGTGATCAGATTGTTCGAAATGTATAGCGTTAATTTATTACAAATTTTAGATAATCTTCGTCTTCTCATTACTCTGATTAATTGTTTGTTGTTCTTGCTTTGCAAGAACCCATTATTAATCACCTGCAATTTTCTGTGTTGTAAGTTGTCCCAATAAGTTTGCATCCATAGAGAGATTTATGCAACTATGCAGCTCGTTGAAGCTGTTGATGACCCCGACTTACTCATTGTCTACACTCTGGTTCAGTCTTTCACTATATCATTTCGTAGATATGACTTTAATTTCGAAGACGAGATTTGCATCGTGAATAAACTCTGAGGTAACTATTTAATTTAGTTAAACTTTTCATACGCTTGCCTGAATTTTTCTAAACACTTAAAAGACTGCAACCTGGAGACGAAGCTTTTCAATCAGATTCAGCGCGTTTGAACTGCTGTTCTGTGTACAATTGTTGCTTGGCTACATTTCCACTTATAGTTGAGACAAGACCATGTTACTTATGCCTCTCTGGCTTCCTAATCAAATCTTGTTTTTTTTCTGCTTCCTATTTGTTTCGCTTCTATTTTCACATAGTCACCTCTTCAACTTTATGAATTTTTTTCCTGAAAACTGAGCGATTTCACTCCATCAGCTTCCGAACTTCTCCTCAATCTCGGTTTTAATTGGATTGCAAAATTTCCACCGACTAGAGGATTCTTAGACAGTTTAATCAATAATTTCTTTTTTTGCCTCTAGGGAACAGACGGTCATAATGTGTTCTTCCTACACGTGATAACCTTCGGATAATTTTATATTACTTTCACATTGTCTATCATTTATAACTATTTAAAGGTGGCTGCATCCCATGGATAATAGAAAACCTATAATTTTCGAATTCCCACCCATATTGTTTTCTAAATAATGTTTACAGCTTAATTTGATTGACTAAAATAAAAATCTCCAGTCATTTCTTTATGCTGTGATTACTACTCATAACAATAGGTAATTGGTGTCAAGATACCGTGAACAATACAACAAAATAATCACAGTCTCAAGAACACGTGCAAACTCTACACCCTGTCTCACCTTGTTCCAATCCAACTCGTCCCAGCCTTTTCGTTAGTAAACATGTCAGTATTGAAATCAATAATTAACCAATAAAAAAATGAAACAAGCTTGCATTTTATTGGTTAATCACAAGGCTAAATTTATCCCTGATTATGATTGGTTTACAGCAGATTATACAGTTATACATAGGGGAATTGACGTTATCTGTGTGCGGATTGGTTGGTTGATGATTTACTTGTGTCTGCTTTGATCGATACTACAGGATTTAATACAAACTCCATTTCGCGTTCCACGTCGGAATTTTGATGTCAATAAAACATTGCTTTATGCTAAAGGAACATGCATGGAATAAGCTTATCTTTTGAGAATTAGTATGGATGTATTGAGAACTATTTCTTAATTCAAGTTTGACAGTTTACAGTAAAAAAGAAATGCTTGCCGACGGTGAATACGTGGATGGATCATGGTTATTATCGGTGTATATTGATGAACTGAATATCAGTCGTCAAATTCGTGTACACGGTGAATGGTCTATTGGTGAGTTATTAGCACAATTGACTGAGGGATTAACATGCCCTTTACCAAAACCGCTTGGTCCAAATGAGATTAGTTTACGTTCAAGTGCTGTAAAAATTGGCTGGGGAGATTATGGACTATGGTGGCCAGCACGATCGAAATGGCTTCTAAGAACTCAGTCAAGTTTAAACCAGTATGGTTTACAAGCAGATGCTAAGCTGCGATTTTTATCGATTTACGGCAGCCTACATGTGCAGTTACCAGATTTACAAGTTAGGGAATTTGTCGATGTCAATTATGCTGAACCAGTTTTTCGTGTCACGCTTTCAATATGTCGTTATCTGAATATACGACATCCTGAAGAATTATCTCTGGCGCATCCTATTCAACAGAATGATTTGAAACATTCTCGTTTTGCACCAGGTTTTGTGGATAGACGTTATCATACGTTTCGACATTAGGTAAACATTCTACATTTCAGCGAAGCGCCACAATCAATGCCACACATTCACAATATAAAACACTCCACAGAGAGTCTCTGTTTCAGATGAATGGGCTTACTAATACTAATGAAATCGATAGACAGGAGGGAGTACAGTTCGAAGGTTTATCAAGAAAGAGTTCTTCAACATCTAGACAATCAACACATCTATTTGGTCCACCACGTATACGTGATAAACGAACACACTTTTATACAAACTATCATCGATATTCTCGTCCAGACTCTGGAAATTTCTCTAAGATCGCCTACTCTCCAGTCGCTTTTGATCTTCGTATTCTAGATGACTCTTCACTAGCATTCAGTCCAATTATGAATGTGGATGATGTCATACAGAAAGGTTTAATAGTTCGACCAAGTAATTATACTCAACGGGTTCGATTAAATGCAACATGGTTAGATTCATCAAAATCTCTGCTGGAACAGGGTATCGACATGCGTGGTTATTTATCACAATTGGATAAATTAAGCTCTCCACCAGTTAGTCGGCCAGCCTCACCAGTTCGTGTGCAAAATGATGAACAATTAAAACCGTCTGACAATAACAATACCACCAGTGATATCAAAGGGGAATGCACACCTCCAAAACTTGTCCTACGCTATAAATATGGAACATTTTATGATTTAAATATTAAATATGATGCTATCCGTATTAATCAGTTATATGAACAAGCAAAATGGTCAATTATCTCAGAGATATCCGAGGTGACAGATGAAGAAGCATGCCTCTTTGCTGCACTACAGGCTCAAGTGAGTATAGTTTGCTCTTTTCTTAAATGAAAGTTTAATTTGTGAATTTCTTAACTACTTGGATTGTATTCCAACAGGCTTCTAAGGGTACCGTGTTCACCTTTCAGTGACCAGTACTCGTTGTTAGGATTATAAGTTTATTGTGATCAGCTGAACAGGATTTGTACAAGATTGTACAATATCGCTTTGAAGTCCAGTTGTGGAAATCTGTTGATCAGTAAGGCAGTAAGTGTTTTAAATTCATCTTAACATCTCCAATATCTGTTTGTTCACAAGCGAATCTTCAGGGACTGAGGTGGCTTGGAAATGTGTTGCACATGCCGGGCTACCGCCTACCTTGACATACAATGCTAGAAGAATTTGGATTAGATTGAAAGGCGACTCAGAGTGATCAGATCAACACGTGGTATCAGTTCATGAAGTCTCTGACTGTTGGCATGAGCGATGTGGGGAGGTATGCTTGCTGGCACTCATCAGCAAGGCGGTTCTACAACCTCGAGGGGACTGATGCCCCTTGTGAGATTCTAACCTGCCTTAACCTGTGCTTCAGTCAGAATCCTCCCCACTGGGCTGTCGTGGCTCTAGTCAACCTCCTGTGGGACTGGATTCAGTATTTCGTAGGCTTTCTTCAGTTGCGTACAACCTTCTAGAGGAATTGTGATGACGAGCAATTAATTCCAATAAGCATATTCTGCGTGTAAAATGTTAGTGAGCTTAACTCAGCATCTTGACATGCAAATACCGACGCACGTCTCGTCTTGTTTGGGACTTGTTAGCTGAATATACTTGCCTCGACTGAGACTCGGACCCAGGACCAACTGCTTCGAACACCGAAGCGTTATCCACAAGGCCACTGAGTCACGGTGGCCACTCGTTGTGCGATGGGTGTTATGGTTTTTTTTGATTCTATAGCTTATGGATCTCCGTCGTTGATTGAACCGAATCGACCGGTCACCATTGACATATAGGCTCACAACCTGTAACATCAAGAAAAGATTTAGGCAATGGTATACTCTTTTTGAGTCTCATCTGATATTGCACGCAGATGGTGACTCGTACAACATAGGGGCATAATTAATGAGTTAATCCCATTACAGGATATCAGATATTGGGATCTGAGGTAGGCTAACAGAATTCATAATAAGCTGTGAGTTCATAGATCCGCGGCGTTGACGGAGTTCCATGAGATTTCTGTCTACTGCTTTCTGAGGTTTTTTGGTTTTCTGACTGATATCTATTCTCTTTTAAAATCACCTCAGAAGTATCCAGGATAAGTATGCATGTACTCATTATTTCTGCATGCACCAATTGCCACATTTCTTTGATTCAGTAAACTGAGGAAACCAGAATACTCAAGAATAACTTGACTCTCTTGACTGACTCAGTCCTACCGGTCAACGTATTCACATGAGTAGTCAATAACTTTATCTGATGTTCGGTCCTGGATACAGAAGATAAGAACTTATTACATCTAATCACATTCTGAAGTTGACTGATAAAATATACTTTCGGTGTTGAAGTAATACTTGTTGCCGTATCACTCAAACCTACAAGCAATCTCTAACATTTACCCAAAGTTAACTACAAACGTAAACATGTCTTACAATCCACAAACTACTGAATGGTATGCTACTTTAATGTGTAACATCAGTTGAACAGTCGGCAGACATCTCAAAACACTAGATGTCTATCCCATTTTGGCCTAGGACTGTTTGTAAGATGTCGCGTTACACAACTTAAGAGATATTAGTTGGTAAGCAGGTCAGCGGTGAACCACGAGAGTAGAATTTTCATATTTGGTAGTTTCTTCCGTTTTAAGAGTGGCCTTTAAAGTCAATTCTACTCGACACATGAATGAGTAAGATTATTCTTTCTGCACTTTAAGTGTCATGAATTTCTAAAGCACAATAAAAGTACAAATCGACAACCACTCATGTTCGTCACACACACACAATGAGTCACGATTGGTTACTTTGACGATTGAGTCTACACGTAAACATGGCTGGACATGCGGACGGTTGTGGATTATCAATTATTTCCACTTTGTATGCTTGTATGCTACTAACAGAAAGAAGTAGTTATAAATGGCTCATTAGAATGAGCAAATTAGATGAAAATTTCAGGTGCTTGAATAGTTCAATCGTTATAATCACTGAAGATATTGAAAAGCTATTCACACTGATTTTGGCTCTTGAGATATAACCGATGAGTTGTTAGGGTGGGACGAAATTTATCCCCAGGTGTTATAAGCATTCTATCTGAAAATATGTATTTTCTGTACGCATATATTCTGAAGAGAAAACTGCTACCATAAATCCTTTTGGACCTAATTTGAAGCCTCAACCAACTCACTATGGTCAGTGTGCATCACCCATCGTGAATAACTGTACTTACTTTCCGCCAACATTTTGCACATGAATAAATGGTTTGAAACATGATTTAATGACAGATGGCATAATGCAAACTGTGCAAATAGGTAAAATGCTCATACAGAGCACAGAAAATGTTCGTATTTTCACAAACAACCCCACAACCTATGAAGAACACGACAGCACCTGGGGATGACTTTTATCCTTACTCCTGTGATGTTGACTGGTTTTGTTTTTGGAGGGGACACCGTTGATATCTATCTATCAGCCTACGGGTTTCAGGCTAGTGATTCAAGGGTAAGTGTGGCTGAAAGTTATGATGTTCAGCCTAGGAGATGATACAGTCGACTAGTATTTTCATAGTCATACTGAGAGACCAGTCAACATAAAATCTGACACAGAAATCCATCGGATCCAGTTGCTACACCTCACAGCAGCCTGAAGACAAGAGATGACGAAGAGAAGAGTGTCACCAAAGTAGACAGAAATGTATAGGAGGAGACAGGCAAAATAAACCAAGGTTAGTAAAATTGCTCATAATCTCGATGATAAAACTTCTATAAATCTGTACCATTGTGACCGATTGTACGCTACATTACCAAGAATATCAAGTCGATGATTCCTATTGTTTCGAGAACTACTCACTACACATATGACACCAACAATCAAAGATTTCGTTGTTTGGTTCTATTTCTTGGTCTGATCACCTTTAGCTACTTTCTAGCCTAGTTTTAATTTGCCTAATATCGCGCATTAGTGTAGGCATTGGGTAGGTATACACAACACCTATCCAAGCCGCTTCAGTTGGAGGAAGGTTCACAGCCTCATCGAATAACTTGCCTTCCTTATCTAGCACTCTACGTCTAACGGCAACATTGCAGCGGTATCTCCTCAAAACCAGAAAAATATTTCAAATTATGTTTATAACGTACCTTTTATCCAGCAGAATCTTGAGTGCCAGTAAGCACATACACTGGTGTATCATTTTCCAAACTCCTAGCAAATGAGGTTCTATTTCAGGATCGTTATGTTGTCGTCTTCAGATCATAGATATACATAGAGATTCACTTTAACCAGACTAGATAGGACGTTATATCATTTCGCTTAAATTCTCATTTGAAATGCACAGCATACGTTGTTTTGTACTGTTTTGTGAGGTATCACTTCATTCTTGGCACTAACTTCAGTGCAAGGTTGGTCTGAACTTCAGTCAGTAAGTCGGTAAGATTCTTCTTATGTCTAAGAGTACCTAACCGTAAACGTTAATCATTCTCACTTTTTTGTACTGATCGTGCGAAGAATTCGATTTTCAGTATGCGATTACTTAATAAACATAGTTTATTACTTCATTACGAATATTTCTCCAAGTCACTATTCAAAGTAGTTCAGAAATATGATCACTGAGTGTCATTCATTTGAGTTAGAAGGTTGCACTTCACAATTTCATTCAACTTTGCTTCAACAGGCTCGTGTATGTGTGTTTCTGTGCTACCATAGGCGCTTAAGTGACATTTGAGTTTCGTTATATTACATCGGTAAGACAATCTGCCGTTGAGAGCTTCTAATTAGTAGTACAATGCTCATTAGTGACGTGCTTCGAGATGAATATCCCGAAGTTCTAATGAGAAGCCATGACCTATAGGGTCAACTAGTCGGAAATGAAGCAGATGCCAAGTGGAAGACCTTGGATGATAGTCACGCTATATCACGAATTGACAGAAGTAAGAAACTGTGGATTGTCGAGTTCCGACTCAGTGGCTAGATGGCTAATGCGTTCGCTTTGAAACCTAAAGGCCTTGGGTTTGATCCCCAGTCGCATCATGGGTTCGTATCGTTGAGTAGTCTTAAGCTATGACGAGACAGCTGTCCAGTGCTTTCAGGTATTCAGTGGTTCCCTAACTGATGTCACTTCTTGGTGAATACTCTCTTATAATTAGCCGTACTAAGTATGCAACTAAGTGTTCACGCGGTTTGGAATGCCAGCTAGTTTTCCTCATAGAATATATGTATCTAACTGTAACTGTGTGCCGGCAGTAGCTGAGGACTGGGCTGTTCTATGGACTGTCAAGTCTACATTCTGTCTACAAGACTAGTGTTATTGTCAAATAATATAACAGCGATAAACATTGTAAATTTCAAGAATTTCACTGTGTCATCAGAATGAATAAAATCGATTGCTTTCATTTTACCACTGCATTCAATCCACAATACATTGCAGTCGCTATTACCGACAATAACTTGACTGAATTCTATGTATGAAATTTGAAGCAGTTAGTTCAAGTCTTGTAGGGCAATCAGTTGTCTCCCATTTCCAGTTACCAATCATATCCTTTCTCTACCTACTGTATGCGAGATATCCGCAGGAAGAATACAGTACCAGTAATCTTGAGAATGTTGGTTAAAATTCAATTTCCAACTATTTCCTCTGTAAACTCAGTTGTTGCTCCTATTCATGAACACCTATATTGTTCAAGTTAGCTCATATTATTGACACAATGAAATTTAATTGATGAATCAGGATTTTGTCAAGATAACTGTCACATTTCCTTCATCTACATGAGGAAAGTTAGTTGGATGGAGGCAATCTATAGGGAGCCCTGATTGACCAAAGTTTTGTCTTTCTTGGCTTCC